TACTACTTTACTCTTTTTTATAATAAAAGAGCTGCAGGCACCATTTAATATAGAACAACGCTTTTATTTATAAAGAATGCTACTTTATACTTTTTTTATAATACAAGAGCTGCAGGCACCATTTAATATAGAACAACGCTTTTATTTATAGAGAATACTACTTTATAGTTTTTTATAATAAAAGAGCTGCAGGCACCATCTAAGATAGAACAACGCTTTTATTTATAGAGAATACTACTTTATAGTTTTTTATAATAAAAGAGCTGCAGGCACCATCTAAGATAGAACAACGCTTTTGTTTATAGAGAATACTACTTTATACTTTTAATTGCATTAATATGCGTTTATACAGAGGGTTGAATACTTTATAATAAACGATTTGAGATATGTAAATAAGCAGGTCACGTGACAACCACGGAAGATACAAAGTTGCAGTGGAACATCATCAGATTACGGCCGAAAATATTGTTAGCAGCGAAAGTACTAAACTGAGGAAACGACGCATTAGAATATTTGTAAAAGAGGGCGTCAAAAAGTATATTTAATTAGCTATACTTATTACCAAGTTGATATTTAGTTCCGCTCTAAGTAGGTAGCTTGCTCTGACTGGAAGTTAATATCAATTAAGAGCTACATTTGACGTTCTTTGGCACTTAGTAGATAGTGTGATGTCACTGAAAATATTCCCTTTAGGCGCACACTTTTTTTTTCAATTATATCACGTTCAAAGTCATTGTCAGATAATTCAGGTTCAGAGCCAGGATCATCGTCAACTTGCACAAGTTCAACTGTCTCTTCAAATGTGAAAACACTGAAGCGATTTGATGCCATTTTGGGGTTTTCTCATAAAAATTCAACAATTGTCAACTCCAAGTATTACCGATATTTTGAATAGTAACATACGCCATGTTGGATACGAATCGGCGGCTGAGATCGTCATCTGTGTAGATTAGGCTTTGCCTATTGATTTTGTGCGCTAGTTTCGCATTTCTAGTTAGAAATACAAACCGCATTATGCGATCGCCATAAGAATGGAGGAAGAGGTCTTAGACAACCTGACCCTCCCAGATCCTGTTAAGGATTTAGATCCCGATACAAATAGACGGCTAGCGGAAGAGATCTCCAGTACACCTGACCTCCCCAGGTCGTTCAAACTAGACCGAAAACCTGACTAAGAAGAAAAAGACGGCGACGAGTTTGGTTTGAATTACATGCAAAGCTCCACGAAGGCTATCTGCGCTAGCCGTCCCTAATATAGCAGTGAAAGACTAGAGGGAAGGCAGCTAGCCATCACCACCACCCACCGCCAATTCTTGGGCTGCTCTTTTACCAACGAATAGCGGGATTGACCGTCACATTATAACGCCCCCACGGCTGAAAGGGCGAGCATGTTTGTTCGGGCGGGATTCGAACCCGCAACCTGCAGATTGCGAGTTGAGTGCCCTAACCACCTGACCATGCTGGGCTATGGCGACGAGCACGCCTTAAGGGTTAATCGATTTTGGTTAAAATCTTCAGACGCAAAATATTCATACACTCAGATCATAAAGTTATTTTCAGATCGGGTATTTAGAATTTCTAATACAGTGATATTTATACCTTATACTTAATGAGATTACAAAACAAAGGAGTATGAATCAAATTAGGAACCATTCAGAAATAGACTTGCAATAAGTCGTACCACAGCCTTGGTAAATAAAATACGGCATCTTGTAACAGGTAAGAATCCATGAACATAAAGGTCAGTGGCAAAAGCTGTCCGCCTGTCGCACCATAATCAAGAAAGATATAAGTCTGGACAAGCGAAACAATTCATGTGTACGCAAGTTGCTTCGAAGCCATATCAATTCAACTCTTGCTTACCTCAAGCAGTTGGAGAATAAAATAGTGTTAATGTTATTATGTAGACATACTAGTCAAATGGCCGGACTAGATGTTTTATGGAAAGCCTTCAGGGTGGAAGGGTATGCTTTAGACATGACCACCTCACGACGGAGCCTTTTGAATTAAAATTGCGCTACAGAATTATTGTCAACATGTACAGTCGTCAGCTAAAGTGTGACTGGGAATGGTGACATGGGCTGTAACGACTTGGTGAGGCTCCAAAATTGTTTTCAATACAATGTACTCAACATCTATACATCTTGGATAAGATCTTGATCAAGATTGTACATCCATTACTATTATGAGCGATATTTAAATACATTTTTTTTTTGTATTCTAGCATGTCAGCAGTTTTGATTTTGTTATTCTTCTAAAATCAAATTAGTTCTCGAAATTATTTGCTCAATATTAATACAAAATACTGGTTCAGTAGTCACAATAGTGTTTCATATATTCTTAAGTTTATGTAGTCAGATTATTTATTCTTCAAAATACTTTGCTGTAACAAACTATAGTGTTCTTTCACAGTTTCTGTCTTCAATCTCTCTTAATTCTACTCTGAACAGCTTCTTAGATTATTCAATAAAAGTGTTAAGAGCTTTAATTTAATTCTCCATCCTTAAGTGTTGTACTGCTTTAACTCAACTCCCACTCCTTAAGT